CCTCTAACGAGCCATCATTTGATCCAGGTGCGTTAAACCAGGGAGAGAATAAAACATGCAGGATGCCGGTGTTCTGTCAGATAGCCATACGCTGTCAGGATAGCATACATGCAGTCAGTACGCATGCCCGCGCATGCGCATAAAGAAGTCAGACCGTCAGCACAGTCGTCAGTTCAGCATACGCAACAAGTTATGACGAAAATAAGTCATTAAATTGTTTATAATAACGTATAATATGATAACTAGATGAATATACATGCGTTGTCGTGGTTTCAAAGTGTATTTAAAGCAGGGTCAGCTGCAGCTGCAGTCAACTACAACACACGCCCGTGTAAAACTCATTAACCTACTTAACCGCTAAGTCAGGATGCCATACAGCTGTTCATAACAAAGTGTATGATGATCTACGTCATGATCCTGTGTTGCTGATTAAATAAAATCATATGGTAATGACAACGTATACATGTCCGAGCTAAGCGTATGACTATCTGACAATGTATGCTGATCTGACAGAACACCGGCAGAGACGCACCAACATCTCTGCAGCTGCACTTATAATAAAGCACAGTTCCACAAATTGACTCTGAGAGCTAAATACAATTACACACCACACTATTCAGATTCAATTTGCCAAACATTTTGATCATTTTCCTAACATTTTATAATTACACTCTACTTTGCAATTGTAGATGTGTGCTAATTAAACCGTGCTAAAATTGCTGAACGTGACAGCTGAGGGTGTAAATACTTTTACAAGGTGACATGGTTAACAACATTAGGTCCCCCTTTAATCTGTTGTATTTCAATACTTTCACACAATCCACCCAAAAGCCGGCACACAGGCAGTAGAGAGGAGCCTAAGCCAGCCTAGGATTGATGAGTCCCATCATCCCGAACAGACTTCGTGTCTAATGAGGAGGCTCTGTGGATCTGTTGAGTCTAAGTTAACCACGTTTCCACTGGCAGAGCGGTCTCCAGATCCCCACTCCTCCCATCTCTGGGTCCAACGCAGTCCACACCGCTTCTCCGAGCCATTTGTCAAACCGTCGCCAACATTAAATTATCACGGCCCAAGAGACGCCGTCTACCTCGAGGAAGAGACCGAACCGCGGTCAGAGAGATATGGGCGCGCCGCATCCGAGACGGAGACCTGGATGAAAAATCGCCCCTCGCAAAAGCGGATGTTTGTTCGGGCCGCGTTCCCTCTATTCTGCAAGCTTTATCATCAAAGTTTGAACAGTGTCTGGCAAGAGAGGAGGAGAAGATCCCTCCCCCACGCCCCCCCACCCCACACCAGCCCTCCGTGGTTCACTCCAGGTGTCGTAAATCATCTCGTTTTGTCTCAACTCCACTCACTTCTGGGGCTGACGCACCTTGAGTCTTACTGACTGCTCTCAGATGCAATAAAAATAAACACAGAAAGGATGAAGGATGGTGTTTTCCAGAGAAAACACCACAAAAAAAAAAAAAGCGGTTTTTATGTGACCCAGAATACTTTCATTGTGCTTAAAGGAGTTTTTTTCAGACCTTTTTCCTAAAAACAGGCGCTGGATGAACTCAAACTAACAGGCATTCACAGACATGGAGGCTAAACGCTCTGCAGGAAGACATTTATTAGGACAGAAGGATGGGAATCTGTGTTCCTGGAAGATTTTTATCTGCTGTTGCCTGTAAGCCGTCTGCTTATCTCCATGTTTGCTCTTTAAAAGGAACTCAACTAAATGTTGAGCTGGATGCTGGAGCCCCTGTTGACTTCTCAGGACGTATCCTGAAAACAGTTATTTACGCTGCTAGACCCGTGGCCTCCCCGCCATGTTGCTTTTGAAATAATAAAGCACAGACTACAAAGAAAACAAACAAAAGAAAAGATATATATATAAATGTTCTTTTGAAAACAGGGATAAACAACATTTCTGAAGCCAGTCACCTCACTGGTATCCAAGCATCTGCGTCATTCTCCGTTCTCTTCCAAATGGCAACGGTATCCATGTTGGAAATATGCTTATCAGAGCAGAACAAATCACATTGTGCTGTACTCCACAGAGGTTTACGTAATACACCTGTGGATATTTATTTTTTCTGTCTGCGTGCAGCAAATATTAACCATATATTAGCAAACCCGTGTGCATCGATTGTTTTCTTTTTTTTTTTCCAGAAATCATGGAAATCAGATATTTTATCCGTTCCGTAACCTCCGCTGCGTTCAGCCTGCTGTTAACGAGACGCCGTGGCCTCAGAAGGAATATCCAAGGATAGCATCTATATTTTATTATGTTTATTACGGAAGGGCGGCATAGCTTGTTTTATTGGATAAAACATGAGCGTGCTTCGCTCTAAAGCTCCCACTGGTGAGCATCTTGTGGCTGTGAACTGCGTGGTGACATTAACCAGATGCCTTGCGAAGGTAAAAAGGCCAAGCAACATGAAGATGTTCAGCTCTGACAAACTACTGCACTGTAATGTTTTTTTTTGGAAGGGGTAAAAGCTAGGAGAGAAAAAAAGAAAATCCCGGTAGCAGGCGATGTGTTGGAAAGATTTTAAAGCCCTAATTATTTCTCAGTAGCCAGAGGTTACAGAAGCGTTTCATGGCGCTCTTGATTAATAATTTTGTTATGGTTTCATTTAGGTATTTTTTGCTCCTGACTAGAAGAGCCTATTTGACAATGTTTAGGCAAAATAAAAATAAAAATAACTGATAGCCATTGTTCGATTGATCATCTGTCTGCTGTTTACCAAGTCTGCCATTTTTAATCCCAGCGTGATTTTTTTAGGTAACAGTGACAGCTTTTGTGGCACTAGAGCATCCTCTTCATCAGGCTGTTCTTCAGTCAGAGGCTTCTTCATGTTCACTGCAACACTGATCGCTACAGCATATCCCTCCTAGCCACAGCCATTACCGGTTCTTTGAAAAAACCCTGCATAATATGAATTCTTACAGTTTTTAGGACTAATTGTGCTAAATTATAAGATGCTACAGGCAGTTTAACATGTGACCTATGCAGTCATGGTGACGACGCGCCATAAAATCCCAGTTAACTCCAAACACAGCGACTCCTCTCACACACACGCTGTAACGTTGCCTTTGTTCCCAGCATTAATAATCAATCGCCGATCACCACGGAAACGCTCCATAAGTGTCCCATACAACTAAAATATTAAGTTATGGGGAAATAAATTAAAAAATAAATACCCCCTTGTTTAATCATTCTTAAATAAGGGATGTGCCACATTTCTTAGGGACGGTCGAGTTCACTTTCAGTAGCCTATTTAAAGCCAGAACAATAAAAAAATAAAAATAATACAAACCCGTCTAACAAATATGTTAAGAGGTATTAAAAGGCGACAGATTATGACCAGACCTAAACCCATTCGAGAGCACAAGAAATAGACATTAACATCTGTTAATTTGGAAAGGGTTACAAAACAAGTTGTAAAACATTTTGAGTCCAAAAATCTGCCTCAAACAAAAAAGTCTTGATTATCAAACTATTCTGTGGACCAGTGAGATAAATGGCAGCTTTCTGAACAGAGGAAAAGCAACAGAGCACTTCAGCTCTCTGACATTTTATATATATATATATATATATATATATATATATATATATATATATATATGTATATATATAATTGATCAGGAATTCTGGTTTTGACTCGTACAACTTGACATCAGTTTGCGATTTTAAACTCAAGGTCAGATGGGTTATGCAAGCAGGATGATGAGGTTGGGAATAAAAGCTTTTTCAGAATCTTGGTAAAAGATTCTGAAGTGGACTAGTCAAAACCTGAAGTCGAATCTGATTCACCTACTGTGGCATGACCTTAAACCATTAATTAATTCATTTATCACTATTCATGATGTGGTGCAGCTAAATTAAAACAGTTCTACAAAGAAGAGTGGACCAAAACTCCTCCACAGTCATCTAAAATACTCTTAAAAAAGACAAACGCTGGTTGGTTGGGAAAGCTTTTTTTTTTTTTTTTAACTCTAAGATATAAAGCAAACCTTTGAAAACATTTTAGGTAACCTTTGTGCGAAATTTGAATTTGTTTGATGATCTGAAGAAAGAAAAAAAATCACCAGAATCCAAAAGAGGGCAAACACCCAAACAGATATTTTTAAAAATCTGTACAACTTGTAAACCAACTAAAATGTAATCAGTGCATCTCACTGGCACTACATAATCACATCATTGAACTACTACCTGCTCCTTTGCATGTGCCGTGTCGAGAGACTCACCATGCGGTGGACGTGTTGTAGGGCAGGAGCGTGGGGCTGTGGCTCTCTCCTCTGAGGCTGTGTCTGGGTTGGTAGTGGCTGCTGGGCACCATGGGCTGGGCTTGGGCCTGGGCCTCGCTCTCCTCGGGCATGGACCGGTGCCACTGGCTCCGGGCCTTCTTCAGCCAGCGGCCGCCCAGACCCCACTTCTCCAGGTAGATCCGGCACAACTCGTAGTTTATGGCTGAGTAGTAGAGGAAGTCCAGGGCCAGCAGCACCATGACGAAGAAGCCGTAGATCCACACGCCGACCAGGGCTGTGTAATTACTGCCAAGAGAGAGAGAGAGAGAGAGAGAGAGAGAGAGAGAGAGGGGGAGCAACAGCACGGCTTTATCTGGGAAAAGATGATGATTAACAGTCTTTACACGCTGAGAGCTTCCATTTTGATATTCTAAAAGCTAAGCTCCCAAATCCCGAAGGCTGCGGTGGTGCTGCCAGGTGTGAACGTTCGCTATTCACTTGGCAGGACCAAGATGTTCATCCAATTCTCCCTTGGTGAAAAAAACAAAAACAAAAAACAGTTAGATAAATAAATATAAACCTCCATCTGTTCCCTTTGCAGTTTCTTAAAATCAGCTGCACAAATTGGACAAAGAATTTAATTAGCACAAGAGACTTTTTAATCCCCCCTCATTCTGGCTTCCACAAAAAAAAATAAATAAAATAAAATAAAATAAACATCTCTTCACCTCTTACAATTTTTTTTCTCCATGCGTTGCATGATCCGGCTGGATTTATGTGGGTCACATTTGAACTACTTTAGTCTACCAGCGTCCATAAAGTCTAACAAGGTAAACGAGCAAAAAAAAAATAAAATAAAAAAAGCTTCCCCGAGAAGTGGGAGACTAGGCCTTTGAGCAAATGGAGGATATTAAATTATCTCTGAGTGTGACATTTCTGCTTGAGTTGGGAAAGAGGACATTTAGTTGGGGGAATATCCTACAAATGGATGAAGAGAAAGAAGAAGAAAACTTAGAAAAAAAACTACTCTGACTCAGACGAGGAGCTGACACTCAATATTACTTGAAATCAGAGATTTATTTGGAGGGAAGCAAATTTTATTTGCCTCGCTATCCAATTACAGCAACCGCGCTGATTAACGGCGTGATAAACCGTGATGTGAAAACGCTTCTGGATTTGGCAAATCAAGTGAATCCTATTACGTTGTGAAACCTCAGAGCTCTATAGATATTAATCTGGAGAAAACGCTTCAAATGGATGTGCTGAGCTGCCCCGGAGGTGCATTAGGGAAGATGACTGCTGCCTCTGCTCTCAGATCTGCAACAATGCATTGCTCACCTCACCTGCATGGTCCCCACTTCTGATTTAGAAACAAACACTTATTAAATCTTGTGAGACGCGTCGAGGGGAAATGTTTACAGCACGGTGCTATATGTGTTCAGGAAGAAATTGCGCTCGTTGCTAGGAGGAAATTGTCGACTCGTTATTAGATACGTGAACTTAAATCCCTCTAAGGGTAGATGATGCAATTCATCAGCTATCAACAGCTCCACTTTCCCTGTCTGTTTTTTTTTTTTTTTTTTTCAGCATTCATTTTAATGTGACTCCACCAGTTTGCCTTGCAGCAGTCTAGAGGAGCTGCAAATATCCAGAACTCAGATGAGAGAATCTGTTGACAAGAAAACTGGTTGTGCATGCCATCACTATGATCTTTATGAGTAAAAAAAACAACAACAAAAAACACACACATTGTTGGAATACAGTCATAAGACGCCGTAACTGCAGCAGCTTACGTCGTATGACCTTAATCCATTTAAGGACACAGTAAAGAACAAGCTCTGACCAGATGAAATGGGAATTGAGATGTTGGGATGCTTTTCTTTAGCTCAGAGTTGAATGGCTCATCCTAGGAGGTAGAGACTGTATAAAAAATAAATAAATAAAAATAAAAAAAAAGCCTGAGTTCAAGGCAGAGGTTCGCATTCCAGCAGGAAGACATCTCCAAACGCACAACCGAAGCTAAAGCAGAAGGCTTTAGCTTCTGCTAAAGCCAGTGCGGCCTATTCAAAGTCCGCACTGATATCCAGTTGACGCGATGCTTGAAAAATGTTCACAGACACTCACTGTCCAGTCTGACTAAACTTGCTCTCTTTTGCAAAGACAGATGGGTAAAAACGTCCATCTCTACTGATGTGTATGCCACACTATTAAGTTTTTTTTTTTTTTCCCCCACTGTTTCAACTTCACTATATTGTGTCGGAGCAAAACATAATACTTCGAAAGTTGTATTCGTAACCACTTTCAAAGTTAATAAAGTCGAAGAGGCGTAAATATTTTTTTGCGTTTCCTTTCAGCTCCTGTTTTTACCCTGACGACTCCTTCAAAGGTCAAATGCCCTTTGGTGTTTAACACCTGCAGCGCTAAACCTCCAACCTGTAATAACATTTCCACCATGTGGTGTGAGGACAGAGCAGAGTTGTGGCCACTTCTTTTTTTTCCCCTTTTTTTTATTTTAGCTTTGCCAATGGTAAATATCAAACCCGCAGGCCCATCACCTTTTGAGCCAAGATGAAAGAATTGCTCACTGGGCTTCCCAATGCTAAAACTGAAATACCACGGCCTGCTGGGGGAGAGAAGAGGGGCAGCGTGAACCCACTGCATGCTGGGAGGGCATTAGTACAAAAAGCTGTGGTTTTGCCACCTAACCCTCCCACTGAGAGCTCCCGCAGAACGAGAGCCACCGTTTTTCTGTCCTTCACGCGGCAGAAATCACCTCAGCCTGCAAGCGAAAAAACCCGTCCTGCAGGTACATCGTACCACGGATCCCCAGTACGGACCTAACTATCAATCCTTTCCATCCAGCAACTGTATTTTGATAGAAACTAGACAGAAAAAAAAATAACATAACAGAGGGCATCGGAGCAGCAGGGTCGTGGGCAGGTGCTTTCAGCATCTGCTCTTCACTTTCATGCTTCTGAATGCTTCTCTGTAAGCTGCGGCTCCATGTCGACGAACCTCTTCAGTAAAAGGTGAACCGTGCCAACGAGTGGGACGGCCAAGAGAAAGTCGGTCCTCTTGCAAGAGTTGCCGTTTAAAAAAAGAGACCTTTTGGTCCAACGAGGGTGCAGGCGGAGAGTCGCTGAAGAATCACCACCACCACCTTTTTCCCATTGATCGTTTTAATTAACAGCTCTTGTTTATACCTCCAGTTTATGTCCATGGTTTGGTTCCTTCCTACATGCACTTCATATCAATAATCAAACCATTTGCAATGTGATGTAGTTTGGTGAAAAATTAAGGAAAAAGCGAGGGTACTTGGTGTTTTATTGGCTGATGTACTGTTTTGTGTGTGTGTGTATCTGTGTGTGTGCCATGTTTAGCAACAGCTGGGATGAGCCAAACCCCCCTCCTGTGACCATGAACAAGATAAAACAGGCGAGGAGAATGAATAAGTAAATGAATGAATGATGTCACTACATGATTTATCCATTTATAGCCTAACAGTGTTTCATTTCTCGGTCACGTATTTTCCCCGAGACGTGACCGTGACACATATTTACTAAAAAGAAAACAAACAAAAAAAAAACATCCTGGATATATATTTTGTTTTTAGCCAAAATGCTCTGTTGATGTTGTTTGGATGCAATTTGGGTTGTTTTAATCAAACACTGGTGACCCAGTTTGTTTTATTAGAAACCAGAAAGCTCCACGTCGTCCTTCATTTTTAACGAGTTGTACAACAACCTGATCAAACGCCACTAAATCTCTTTAACAAGATGAAATGAGAAATGTAAGAAGGTGAAACAATGTAGATGTCACTGGGTTGTCATAGCGATTCTAGTTCGCAACAGAAAATGACTTTGTTCTCTGAATGTTTGCATCTTGCACAGGAGAAGCTAGCAGAAGCTAACGCTAGCTAAGTTCATCTTAGGCATTTTAACACATTTCAGAGCCGGAAACTCAACTCCATATTATAGCCGGCCCAAGGCAGAAGCAATCAAAGCTGCCAAATGCATTAAATGTATTCTCACATAATTCAGATCTCAACTGCTCATATGTACAGATGATTGTCAGCGCATAAAACAAAAGATTCAATTTTTTATTCAGGAATTTGAAATAACTTACAAAATAGTTGTAGACTGAAAAAAGTATGATTTTGATTAACAGTTGTAATAAAATCCTGAGAGTGTAATAAGTTCTCGGCTTTTGTTTGAGCCGGAGTCGCATCACATCTGCATATATCCAATCTCACCCAGTTTTGGTAATAAGTTATGAAACCAGGGCTCTTGAATTTGCAACACACAAACAGTCTCGCTTGAAGAATTTCACAAAGAAATAATTTTCTTTATTTTAATAAAGAAACATCCCGTTCACGCTGATGGGCATATTTGGAAACCTGCATCCAAATTACATTGTTCTAAAGACCTGATACAATATTGGGTCAGCTCTGCTCAGTATGCTGCTCTAAAGCCATAATCCAACCCTGTGGTATTAAATCAACCCAGTCCATCTTTGATCCAAGACCCCCATGTTGGGTTTATTTTTTTAACCTTTCTTTTTCAAAGGTGTGCGACTTTTCAAAAGTGCCATAGAGTTTTTCCACCAAAAGTATGGGAATATCCCTTTATGTTTCCTTCTGCACAGAGCGTCGAGGACAATTTAAACGACAAGAGATATTTATTGTAATATTTCACTCTGATTAAACCCACAAAACTTAAAAAAAAAAAAAAAAAAAACCTTAAAAGGAAACAGGCAACGAGGCAGTTTTAATGCGTACTTACTTATGTGCGTAACCGTCTGAGGTGGTGGTGAGGTTGACCTGCATGACCATCTGAAACTCGCTGTCGTTGCAGCAGTACTTGAAGGCCGTGTTGTTGTGGTGACAGCAGAACATGTAGGTCTTGTTGTCTGAGAGGCGCGGGCAGTGGAATCCAAAGTGGTACCGCCCTTTATGGTCGAAGTAGGGTTCGCACACCCGGTAATGAGCCGAGAGAGCTGCAGCGTCGGAGGAGAACACAAGTCATTGTTGCTGTTTTCAGATCCGTCCACTCAAGAGCAAATGTAACTCATGACCTTTGAGGCAGAAATTGTGTTTATCTCCCAGCTCTGAAACCCCCTTATTAGATTTATTGATGGAATACTGCTCTTAAAGGAAAGGTCTCGCAGCCTGCAGCTGCTGCACAGGAAGACCTCTGAATACCTAATGTTGTTCTTTTTGTTTGGCTGTTTGCTTTGGAAGCTGCTGGACACAGAAAGACTCCCGTGTCTTGATAGCGGGAGGAACGCGAAGCGAGCGGGGTTTAACTTGCAAAAATAACCAAATATGAACAGCGTCTGGCAAAACCAGACACAATCACAAGCGCGCGCAATTGTTTCACGTGATTTGAAATAATTACCAACAAATTCCTGGGTTGTGTTCTGGTCGAAGCCGGAAGGACAAAAAAAAACTCCTTCTGTTTTATGTGGAATCTGAAGATACAAGGTTAGAAAAGGAGGATCATTATAAAGTAAAAGAAACCCACACTGAGCAAATGGTAATTCTTGCTTATTTGCATTCATATATAACTGTGCTGTCAAGTTCCTTCAGCGTCAGAGCGAGATAAATATCTGCATTCTTGCTGTTTACTGGGAGAAATGAAATAATGCAGCTTCTGCTAGTCGAATCGGGCAGGAAATAACCTTTTTGTTGACATTGAAATCTCGGGAAAGGATTTCCACGTGAGCTCCGTCTGACAGCAGAACAACTCCATAAGAACAAAGAATGTGACATTAAAACATGCCACAACTCTTCCACTTTTGTCCTCACTAATCAGCGCTATAGCTACTTAGCATAGTCTCATTTTTACTACCAATAATAATAAGAGGAAAACATATTGCAGCTCGCAGTGAGACAGCTGTGCTGCGCCGTGGCAGTATAAAAACCGCACAGAGGACATTTATTCACACACTTAATGAGCTCAAGCACTTGCTCTCTTACCCGTAAGACTGGTGCATACTCATAAAGAAAACTGCTGAGGCTGCCTTCGTGTGTATCTCTTTTTAATAATCTTGAACCTTTGTTTGAACAGGAGGAAGGCGCAGAGAGGAGTCGACGCGGAACAACGCAGGCCGTAAAGTAGCTTTAAAGGCTGACAGGGAAATAAGGAAGCAACCTTGCAAAAGCATCAACGCCCCATTCTGTCATGTTACGACCACAAACATCAACGTTTCTAATCAGGATTCTCTGATATTCCAACACAAAATAGTGTGTAATTGTGACGGGTTTTTTTTTTTTTTTTGTAGTTTTCCCAGATTAATCCTCTTTTTGCATGATCTGTCACACTGAATGGCCATTTGCTGGGTTTGAAGAGAGACTCCTGAAGCCTGGACTATTTCATCTTCTCCAAAACTTCCTTAGAAAAAAATAGCTAAATAGTTATTCATATTTTTCCAAGATAACGTATTGTTGGAGAGCGTTCAACAATATGTTGTATTGTTGCAACTTGTTTGTGGATATGCTAATGTGATTTGTTGCTCTCTCTTTCTCTCTCTGTGCCTCGTAATCATCAGACAAAGCGTGAATAAAAGGACGCCAGTCGACATGACGTGCTCTCGTGTCACTTCGGCTGTAAAGTAACTCGTCTTTGTCTCGGGAAAGCCTAGAAATCCGCCTGCGCTGGTAATGAACGGATTGTTGCTGCGGTTTAGTTTGGAGGTCCACTTTAGACACGAGTCTTTCCGTAACCTCAGGCGGAGACGGATCGGTATTTGAAAAGTCGTCCTCTAAGAAGGTAATGAGGTTCGGCCACGCTCGACTTTGACAGCGGCGAGGTTAAATCACACCAGATCTCTGGAGCAAAGCGAAACAAAAAAAAAAAGGAAAAAGAAAAAGGTGGACGGCGCGTTGAAGTGATGAGAAATTACGCTGAGCTTTTGATTCAGCGAAGCTGGCTGAGAGGAAGCCCGAGACGAAACCCACACCTGCTTAATTTCATTAACACCTCCTGAGATTCAGGACGCCATTAACAGCTGGGCTCTCCCCGACGCAGTTTGTTTACAAGCTGAAAACCACCGCGGCTCTTTGCAAGCGGAACAAAAAGCCTCTGAACGTCAGAAAGCGTTCACACGGCGTTCCTGTTGATCTATCGCTGCTTTCACATCCACGAGTTTCTTGCCTCTCTTGTTCCGAGGCATTAAAGTTAATGATCTATTTTATTTGACTCTCATTTAAAAGAAGAGGAAATTGAATAAAGTAACTTCTTATTTCTCAGAATGTGAAATAATGGCTTAATTTGTCTTTCAATTATGAAAACAGAGAAGAGAGAGCTGAAAAGCAACATGGCTGACTGCAGATTTAGCTGCCTGAGTTAAAACAAACCGATTAATGTTCAGAGTTCACCAGTTAATTACTTTGAATTTCACGTGGATACATTTTTGACTTCAAATCATCCTTGCACACTCATTATCACTGACTAACTCCCCTATTTGGAAAGTTGAAGATCTGGAAAAAAAAGAACCGCTGATTTGTTGCAACGTTTAAAAAATAATTTTACAGCCAAGAAGAACAAAGATAGGTTAAGCCATGTCATCATCAAGGAGGGAAAAGCACAGATGATGATGTCATGGCTTTGGAAGCTTCTGATAGGTTAACTGACTTGTCTGAGCTGATTGGAGAAACGCCTGTGGACCTGACTCGGCTCCACCGGCTCTGTCAGGAGGAAGTTTTGAAAATCGACGCCAGTTCAAACTATTTAAAGGCAACGCTGGCACAAACACTCAGTAAATGTCTGTCAACTTCTGACTTTGGAGATCTGAACAAACACATTTCTGACATATTCTCTTTCTCATCAAGAGACATTTAGCAAATGGAAATAATTTTGGTAATTCAAACTGATGCAAAACATGAAGTTTGGTCTGGCTTCACTTAGACAAAGTAAAGCTGTTTGTGTCTTTTTTTTCATCTATCAACTTTATATATTGTTGAAAACAGAAATAGTGGCAGATGAATGTTTTAAAATCAATTTAATGTATATAAGCATTCTCTGTTGCTTGTATATTACAGTTGTTCTTTTTTTTTTTCAACAAACGTAGCCCCCTTTTTGGGCTTTTCCTATCAAATACGACAACGTTTTGGCTCTAAACGCAGCATTTGTCCTCACATAGACTCTTCTGAGCCTCAGAAATCAACATCTCCCAGCTTTTTCCGACAAAACGTTGCACATTTTGTCTTCTCTACATTTATGTCACGACCTTACAGGCTTCTTTTTTTTTTCTTTCTGAAACGACGTCTGTCTTTTAGAGCACAGGGATGAACGTCCCCCAAAGGGCTCACACGGGTGTCTGCCGACCCCTCTATAATGAGACAAACTTTTGAAGGGGGCCAGAAAGGCAGACTCGCTGATGGACACAATCCTGACTTTCACATACCTGCAGTGGACAGCAGGAGGAAGATGACCGTCAGGACATTAAAGGACTGCCGGCTGGTGATAGTCATCTTCTTGTCCTCATGTGGGAAGGAGGATGGGAGCAGGTTGGGGAGGATGGGGGAGGGGGAGGACCGCTCTGTTTTAGCTGGATGTGGGCATCCTCTGCATGCTGACAGCTCCTCTCACATGGCTGCTGCTGCTGGGAGACAGGACTCCTGATGGGAACAAGACAAGCAGGGAGAGAAAAGATTAAGATATTTGATTGAGGTTTCTGGACGTCCTACCTAAACCGGCTCGACAACTTGCCTGGCAGCGAACGCTGGCGACGGCGGCTCCCTAAATGTGTCCAAAATTTCGCGTAAAGTAATGGCTTAATTGAAACAAAGAAATTCGACGGCGGGCTAAACCGGGTTTCTGTGTTCGCCACTCGGTCCGACTTATAAATATCGGCAACTTCAAGCGATCAGCCGGGAACAGACACAAAGACGACAACGTGACAGCTGGATTATTTCAGCAGGTTGCCGCAGTGAATCATCTGTATCCTGACATCCATCCAGATGTCATTTTGACACATTCCTCCTACCTCCAAAGTATTATTTGGGAACATCAACAACCCCATTTCTCCCCACCTGGAGGGACAGTAGAGTAGACTCAGCAGAACCATAAAACTGATCACACAGTATTGCTTTTAAAAATATGTGTAAATGACCCACAAAATAAAACATGTTAATGCTCGTCGTTGAAACTGATGAAATGTAGAAAGGTTTTTTTGTTTAAAACCTCTATTAGGAATTCACTTCAGTGGGTCCTAATTTTTATTCCTTCAGCAGATTTCCATTTAAAACTACTTAACGCTGACCAATTTTTTTGCTCTCCGCAAAAACACTGACAACAGGAAGGAAGATTAGGTGTCAAATATATTTTTTATTATGAGCGGTTTCGTCGGCAATACCTCTTAAAATTAAACTTTAATCTGTTTTTTCTTTTTAATGTCTGAGAGAGAAGAGATAAATCAAAGCTAATGCGATTCCGTGACTTCGTTTGAACATGGAAATTGTGCAAGTAATGCAATAAAAGTGCAGTGTTCTGAGAAAAAAAAAGAAGTGATGTTTGTATCAAATATTTAATAAATTGCAGGGAATCCGCTCCTGCAGCACGGCGTCAGAGTTTGGATCGTGAAGCTGCTGGGGAGCACGTTGCTTATAAATGATGCATTGTGGGAGGTCATGCACCCTCCTCGTTCCACCGCTTCCCTTCCCAGTTAGCGTTCGGAGCTTCGTCTCAGCTCCCTGTCCGCTGATGGTAAGTAAGATAAACGAGACGCCGGTGCAAACCTGCTGAGACACGCACCTTCCTGCTCCATTGCAAACGCGTTGCTTCAGGAGCACAAGAAGAAAGCACGCAGCTTCAGTTCGCTAACGCTAATTTACGTCGACGAACGAGTGAGCGACTTGCGACCTTAAAGTAAACGCGCTCTCAAATACAACGGATCCGAGCTGCGCCTATAAATATTCATGCGACAGTAATTTCACTGTTTTGCCGAAGTGTGCCTTCAAAATTGACCTCTAAACTTTTCACCGCTTTACAGCTGCAAGTTCACGTAGGGGGAAATTTAAAATCCCTCCTCTCCCCTCCCCCCCCCCCACTCCCCTCTCTCAAGGAGAGAGCGTTGCAAAAAAAAAAGAAAAAAAAGAAAAAAGTTGACCACTGAATTATTGACAAGGGAATGGCGGCTGCCAGGAGAAAAGAAACCACTTACATCAGCGCAGAAGGCCACCAGTGCAAAAAATAAAATAAATATATAAAAATAATCGAGGCCCATATTCAGTTCATTGTTGCATCACCATCCTTTAATGTTTTTTTTTTTTTCTTGCACCGTTCAAACCCGGAGTGCAGGATATCCATTTGGAGAGAAATTGGTGAATATTTTTATTGAAGGTATGGTCTGAATTTAATGTTCAGAGAGGAAAGACTGCAGTTCCATTTCGTGTCATTTAAAAAAAAAAATGAAAAAATCTAATCAGGGAATGTCCCCTGTGCTTACATGTGAAATATTTAAAGACAAGAGACTAGCAGGTAATACAGCACACACGTTTACACTTCTGCTATTATTCCCATAGCAGAAAGAAGAATGCCGTTACTCTGCTGCATATTTTATAGACGAGGGAACTACTTTCAAAGATATAAAGAAGATCTTGACTTAAAAGATCTTGGTGATAGAAGGAGCAATCAAATGTGAAAGTTTTTTTTTTTTTTTTTTTTTTTTTTTTTTTCTTTTTTTTTTACAAATATAGAGACAGAGCATTGTTCACAAAGTTATAACAAAGTCAACATTTTACATTATTTATGGAGCAGCAGTTGTCTTTTCAAGTGCGGTGATGCTCAGATCGCTGAACATCGAAATGATGAGGAAAACAAACGATTTTTGTCTGAAATACACAGTCAATAAGCAGCGCAATCAATAAGTACTTTGGCCGGATTCATCACCTGCAAATATTTCAATACTTTTTAAGAGCACTGTATGAGATGTTCGACAGTGTAATAAAACACAGATCACATCTGCCTCAGAGCAGATCTCTAATGTTGATAAATCTGCTTCATAAATCAGACTGAAGGTGCTTAAGAAACTCATGCATTTCTTTTACAAATATTCAGGTGCTGGACCGAAAACAAGTAAAAGTACCAGCCAAAGTATGTGAAACGTTAATCAAGGTCGTTCAAGGACTGCAAAGACTATTGGCTTAGGCAGAGACTTTTACACGACATGTGGAAATAATGAAGATTTTGTCCGTTATTTTTACTTTCTTGATGTCATTTTGTACAGTCAACTGGAAAACACACAGAAAATACCTATGATCTTTTTTTTTAGTTATTTGAAAAGCACACTGCAAGCATAGATTTTTTTTTTTCTTCCCCAACAACTTGAGTTCAGAAGAGGCTCATGGCAATTTTCACACTATTCACACTTCAGCAGAACTTGGCTGCCACAGCTGAAATCCTCCTGGCTGCAGGCTGTTTGGGGAAAGTTGCATTAGTTGGGTCCAGCACATCTTCACAGCATAAGTACTTCTGAGATCCTTTAAAAGTACCCTCAACTCGACAGCTATAAATCCAATTAATTGCCGTAAGTTGGGGGAAATGTCAATTATCTATAAATGCTGGGCAAGAGATGCATGGAGGAATCAGCTGTTTTGAACCAGTTTTGAGCTTGATAAAAACTGGTTTGCCATCAGATATTGGTCCATATGTAAGAGCCCCAGGTCAATACTCTGTGGTGTGGATGCTGTTACTGAAAGAAGATGCAAAGCAAGCTAGAGGGAGCGTTGTTGAGATGCTATCAAAGAAGAAGAAGGAAGCAAATGGATGTAAGACGGTATTTGACAAATTTCTGATCTCCAAAAAGCAGGGTTTTGTTCTAACAGTTGCAGTATGCAACTTTAAAAATTTATTTATTTATTTATTTATTTATTTTTTACATTTGTTAAAACTGTCACTATGACATGACAGTATGACACGAGACAGATAATCTGTAAACAAATCAAGTTCCTATTGCCATCTGCAGAAATACACAGCTTGGTCAGAAACAACAAATCAGGAGGAGTACCTTTGAGCTGTCAATCACGCTTGTGCACCTGCTGCTCACACCCTACCTCTTGCTCTTTGCTACTCTGCCATGAATGATAAGGCTAGTCAGCATGGCCACCGATGATGGCGGATAAGCAGTTTTCCTGAAACAGTAAGTTGTTTCTCATCCATTAGCACATTCAGCAGCACATACATGAGAATGATTGACAATGCCAAGACCTCCCTCCTGGCTCTGATTGGTTGCTTTTGACCGGGAGAGCTGCATTTCTGCTGATGGACGTGGAGGAGACTAAGTTTTTTTCACAAAACATCCGTCTCATACCAAACTGTCAGGACATGGTGAGAGTTTAAACAAATATATTTTTAATAAAAGTTACATGCTGCAACTTTAACCATGACACATTTTAACATTGTACCTCATAATGCGCTGTTGTTTTGTATGCAACTTTCAAAGACTTTATGTCATAAAAGCCACTTTTGAAGATGAGAATTTATGTCTTTATCCTGGATAAATAAAGGTTCAATAATAATAAGTTCTGATCTCCAAAAACAACACCAGCATGGTATGCCTCCAGTTGGTAAGAAGCGCAGTGGGCCGTCTCCCTGTAAAAATAGCATTGTCTCATGTAATAAAAATATCATCATGTGACCAGAGCTGCTAAACCCGCAGCCACAGCTGTTCGTCAGCATTACAGCGAGTTCTCTCCTGACCTGATCCGATTACACCAATGAGCCTAGAGACCTATGAAGACCTCCTTTACCAGTCTTGCTCAGTCATCCTTGTTCCGTTTCACGCAAAACCATCTGCTGCCTTTTTATTGCGACTTATCACCACCAGAAATCACATTTTACAGAAAACCTGCGCCGCCTAAATGGAGCCTGAGTGGATAAATAAACATGTTGCAGGAACGCTGTCCCTGCCAGAGTTCCTGCTGGTTGTTTTGCTTCCTTCGACTGAAGGCTGCACACGATAACCAAACTAAATCCGTGGACGTAATATGGAGAATGTGTTTGTGGAGCACAGCAGGCTTTGTGTGCTGGAGTCTTTAAACACATCTTTGATCAGCGACGCTCTCTTCCTGCTGGAGAGACGCAGGCGGCCTGGATCCCAGGAGGCTTGTTAGAGTGGCATTTCGTATAGATTTCCCCACTCTTTTTATTTCCGCTCTGGCTTTAGCGCAGCGTTAGACAACAGGCGCGGAATCCCGGTCTTTTACAGACACGCTTACGTCTGCTGTGGCCTTTCACATGGCTTTTTGTGTACATCAGGTTTATCTGTTTTACATGGCGTCACACAATTTACACGGCTACCTGCGCTGCTCAGCCATGAAAGGGTGAAGGTTCAGAGTGCCGCGCTTGTTTGCAGAGAAGAAGTGAGGGTTTGATGGGTTTGTGTAAAGAGTCTGATGGTAGTGAAGCAGAACATGGATTGTAAACATGCAGGGAGGCAAATACAGCATGGAGAAAAGTGTAGAGCTTTCCGGGAGGGAAAGTAGAGCAGCAACGCTGGTGCAACACGCAGATCAAGAAGATGGCAGTCGTCTGTTGACCTTTTATTTTTGTTCTTCAAAAGTTCCGGATACAAACGTAAAAAATAAATCCTTTGAACTCATAATTGGTAAAAAAAAAA